GCTTTTGGCACTAGGTGTGCCGCCGCGGCCCGCGCAAGCGACGCTCCGAGATCGCCCGAGATTGCGCGGCGCGGCCCGAGATCGCGCACCTCGGCACTCGGCGAGGTGGATGGGTTGGGAGCGAGGGGGCTGAAGTGTTCAGTGCGGTAGAGGGTCAGCTCGGGGCGCATGAGCCGGACTTGTGGGCCGGACCACCCAGTCCTTATCTGCGTTCTCGCACATGGAGTGCGAGCGAGCGAGGTATCTCGCTCGACTGTTGCCATCCCAAACTGTCACTCCCCTTTCTCCCGGCCGGGGTGGGGGGCGCGCGGGGGCGGCGGGTGTGCGGGATGTCTGTGGGCCCGAGAGCGATGTGCGTGTGAGCGCCTTGCGTTTATTTCATTCCATCGAAGGCAGCTCAAAAAAAGAAAGGGGTTCACAAATGCTCGCCAATCTGGCTGCCGTGGCTGCCGTGGCGTGGGGTCCTGCGGAGATCGCGCGAGTGCCGGGACACGTTGTGTTGCGTGCTGCGTCGCCGCGAGCCGGCGCGCCCGTCGCGGGCGACAGCTCTGATCTGGAGACAGACTTTGACGAGGTATTGCGCCGTGAACTCGAAAAGGCATTTGCCGGGATGAAAGTGGACGCGCTCGACGATACGGAGGAGTCTCGATTTCGATTGATCGAGGCCGAGACGCAGCGCGTCCTCTCGGCTGTCCTCGAAGAGATGGACGCTAGTTCAGACGCGCTGCGAGCGCAGCTGGAAGCCAAGGCAGCCCGCCCACGCAAACCCGCCCTCTGATTTGTGTATCTGTGCTGGGTGCCCACTTTCGACCTGTGTCGGACGCCCGCCGAGCTCAGCTCACGAGCGACCTCGCCGCAGGGAGCGAGCCTGGCGGACGAGGAGACGCGGCGAATGCTTGCGAAGCTGGAGAAGTCCACCTCGGCGGTCGACCAGACGCTACTAGCGACGCGGCGCACGGTGCGCGAGGAGATGGCGACGCTGCGGCAGCTAAAGACCGACTACGAGAAGCTGCAGGAGGAGAAGGCGCAGGGACGCAAGTCTGGCCTTCTCGGTGCGGCCGTCCTCCTCGCTGGCCTCGGCGCATTGAGTACCGGCTTGACCGACTTGCTTCGTGTGGCAACTGGCGCGAGTGGCGGAGACGTGGCGACGCAGGGCGCCGTCGAGGTGGTGTTTGGTCTGGTCGGCGTCTACATCTACCAGTCGAGGCAATGAGTCTGTATGTTAGTTACGGGTAGTCGTGAGCGTGCACACCAGGCACACATGATGCAAAACGGTGTCTCGCTCTCGCCCGGGGCGCATGTTCCATGAATGTGACCGGCTGCCCCTCAGGCGCGTGGTATGATACTGTGTACCTGCGCTGGACTAGTAAATAAATAAAACGGGGTTGAGCGGACTGGGGGGGTGGGGGCGGCGCGGCGTGTCCAGTCATGAGAGCGCGCCCGCCGCTGCCTGCGCGCCGCAAACGGCAAAGCGCAATGTCCGCGCGCGCAATCCGTCCCAATCCGCAATTCCCGCGTGCCGCGAGAGACCAAGACACATGCCAAGAGAGCGCGGCGAAAGTGCAAAGTCATCTCAGGAGGCACGCGCCGACCCGCACGCCGGCGCGCGTGCCGGCGCCGCAAAACGATGCGAGCGCGGCTGGGCGAGTGGCAGTGGGCATGCGCGGCACACCGCGGCGCGCGGGCGGCAGCAACAGGCGAAGAGGCGATAGAGGCCGAAGGGGGAGGGAGGCGGGACGGCTGGGTGTGATGGCTAGTCTCTCACTCTCTCCCCCCTACCTTGGTGGAGCCGACGACACACGTCACTCGCGTCATCCGAAGTACTTTCGGCTGCTTTGTCGCTGAGCGCGCCAACGGCTCGCCAGTGGCAGACGGCTCTGACGAAGGAGCTTCCAGCCTCCCCCTCGATATGACGAGCTTGGGCACAAGCGAGCTGCTGTACCGCATCGAAAGAAAGGGTGCGGGCGCCCATTGCGTCCGAGACCTCGACAAGATCCCAATGCGGGAAGAACTCGGTAACGCTCAGCGCTTGAGGAAGGACCGAGATGACCGCCTTGGGTGTGCCTCTGAAAGCGGTGAAGCCTGTGGCAGCAGGAGCGGCTGGCACATCCACAGGCCAATCGTCGTGAAAACCGCCTTCGCCGACCAGCAGCGTCGGGCCCTCTTGCCGAGGCAATTTGGCTGCAGCGAGCCGGAGCAGCGTCGTGTTGAACAGCGCCTCCCGCCTCACATATAGGCAGTCAAACTCGCCCATGCCACCCATGCCACCCTGCGCTCGATTCCTGCGCCGGGCCTTGCCTCGGCCAGCTAGGAGCGAGCGAGGAGCACGGATGGAGGTAGAAACTGCGGAACCCGCGTCGCGCGAGGCGTACGCCCGCAAGCTGTGCACAACATGCAGCGCAATGCTTCGCAACTCGGGGGCCGGCTGCAGCGCGGCGGCGGACTCCGTATCGGAGGGGAAGGCGGAGATGGCACCGCCAGCTAAGACCGAGCCCGAGGCTCCCCTTGTCCACGGACCATTCGACGTGCCGAGGTGGAGCACCGGCTCGGCCTGTGACGTGCTCGTGGTGAGCCAAGCGAGGAGGGACGATGTCGCGAGCGGCGGCGCGCGAGCCGTGCTATTGCCATCGCGCAGCGGTCGGAGCTGCTTGAGCACAACGTGTTCGCGGTGTCGCGGGTATCGCGCCGCGAAGACAGCGTAGTCGAATAGGTAGGCAAAGCTTCGCTCGCTCCCCCGTGCGGGGCCTCCCTCCGGCCCTGAGCGGATGAAGAAACGAGGTAGCACATGGACGCACAGCACACAGCTCACGAATGACAACCCTTGCGTTGTAAAAATCTATTTCTTTCGCAAACAAAGATTTGTTTTGCTAAAACAATCTCTCGAACTGTGCCTAAAAGAAAGAAAACAGTCAACGCAAAGACGGATTTACATTCTTTTGTCCTCCCACCCACACCGAGGCGGTGTTTTCTTAGTTTCTACATTCTTTTCGCCGTGGTGAGCCGGTGTGTGTGCCAGTCCGCGCCAGTCCGCGCCCTTGTCGTGCCTGTGTGCTGTGAGAGACGCTGTCGTTCAAGAATTCTTTTCGCCGTTGTGGCCGGAGCCAAAGAATGGAGGCCGGGCAGCTTCGAAGCACCATCACCGCTCTACACGAGCGGGCTGTGGATCTGGAGCGGACGATCGCGTCCGCCGAGGAGGGCGGGCGGCTGCACAACTGGCCCGCCGCGCTGGGCCACTTTCAGCTCCTCTCACAGCAGCTGCAGCTGCTTTCCGATCGCGTGATCGCTGAGGAGGCGCTGCTGCAGGACCAGGCCGTGCAACCGCTCAGCCTGACAGAGCACTCGGCGACTATCCCCATGCTGCTGAGTACGATGCGCGACCCGGAGCAGGAGGAGGAGCTGCAGCGCGAGCTGGCCGCCGCTGCAGGCGCCGCCAGCTGCGAACCCACCACACACCCGGCCCACGAGGTTATGTGACTCTCCACTCTCTCTCTCTCTCTCTCTCTCTCTCTCTCTCTCTCTCCACAGGCGCGACGCTCGCCGACGGCGCAGTGGCCGAGCACAACCGCTCGATCCAGGCCGCGTGCGTACACTTTGCGGAAGCGGCAGCGGCCGCGGGGCTGCCTGGCGCAAGCGCGCTGCGTTTCGGAGGCGCGGGCGGCCCCGAGGGCGGGCCACAGCTGTTCAAGCGGCGGCGAGCACAATGAGAGATACGAGTAGGCGAGCTTTGGAGACAGATGGTGGTCCCCTTGTTTCGTGTGCATCGGTTCGCGCGTGTGTTATCAGTGTGGTGCACTTGGAGCACTTGGAGTAGTAGTCATTAACCTCACAAGGGCGCAGAATTCTTTTTCCCTGGGGGAAGGCGGCCCAGGCGCGGGCGCCTTAGCTGCTGACGATGGCGCCGACGCAAGTGGACTCCACAAAGCTAGCCGCGCCGGCCTCGTCGGAAGGCGCCGCGAGCTCGTCCGCCGGCGCTGCGCCCGACGATGAGCCCCCTGACCTCCCTTTTGACATGTTTTCGATGCGCAAGCCAAAGAATTTGGTGCGGCCGCCGGCCCGCAGCCGCTGGCGCCCGCCCTCGAACTCTAAACGCCCGCGCTCCCTGCTTCAGATTGCGGGCGCCTCGTCGGGCCTAAAATCAGCGCTCAAGGGGGTGGTCGGCGGCACCGTCGGGCTGATTGCGGCGCCCATCGTCGGGGCACAAACACAGGGCGTCGGAGGTTTCTTCACGGGGCTCGTGACGGGGATTCTGGGTGCGGTGGCACTGCCGGTCGCCGGCGCCGCGGTGGGCTGCCTGCAGGAACGCCCTTCCCCTCTCGCACTCCACACACGCGCACGCGGCGCTGGCGCGGGCACAGCGCCGCCGCCGCGAGTGCGCTGCCCCGCGCCGACCGGCGCCCCGCGCTGCTGCAGGTGACGCGCGGCGCAATCAACACGGTCGAGGAGGTTGTCGAGTCGAACAAGGGCAAGGACTGGGACCAGGAGAAGCGCGAGTGGTACGAGTACAACCTGCAGACCGACGCGCAGCTCGCTAGCCAGCTCGAGGACGAGGCCGGCGGCGGAGCCGGCGGCGGCGGCGGCGGCGGCGGCGGCGGCGGCGGCGGGAGCGGGCGCGCGCCCAAGGACACGCGATACTACGACTCTCTGGGCGTGCGGTACGATGCGTCGACGGACGCCATCAAGAAGGCGAGGCGGCGTGGGCGGTGGAGGCGCACACACCGCTCGCTTGCCTGCTGAGCCGCGGCTGTGCGCCCTTGCGGTGCAGGCGTACTACAAGAAGGCGCTGCGGCTGCACCCCGACAAGAACCCGGGCGACGAGGAGGCGAAGGAGCAGTTCCAGGCCATCTCGGAGGCGTACCAGGTCCTCGCGGACGAGCGCTCCCGCGCAAAGTACGACGCGCACGGCGCGTCCGGCGTCGAAAAGAACTTCATGGACGCCGGGGCGAGCCCTCCCCTCGCGGCCGCCCCGCCACCCCAAGCCGCTCCCCACCCCCGCCCCGCCCACTCCCCAGGTCTTTTTCACCATGCTGTTCGGCTCGGAGCGTTTCGAGCCCTACATCGGCGCGTGCCTCTCGCCTCTCGCCTCTCCCTCGCGCGCCTCCCGCGCCTCCCGCCTCTCCCCCTCCCTGCGTGCCGGCGCGGTGACGCAGACCCGGGTGCTGCGGCAGGCACCCTCGCCCTCGCCACCGCCGCGTCGATGGAGGGCGGCGTCTCGATGGGCCGGCTGGGCGTGCGGCAAAAGAAGCGCGAGGTGGAGTGCGCGCTGCGGCTGGTGGACATGGTCGCGCCGTACGTCCTCAGCTGTGAACAGCGTCTCTTCACACCCACTGCTGTGAACAGGTGGACATGGTCGCGCCGTACGTCGGCGGCGACGAGGAGCGCTTCCGCCAGTTCTGCAAGAGCGAGGCGGAGGAGCTGATCGCCGTCTCCTTCGGCGACTGCCTCCTCTTTGTCGTCGCCGAGATCTACCGCTGTCGTGCCGCAGAGTTCGTCGGATACCGAAAGTCGACCCTCGGCGTGGACGGGCACGTCGCCGCGTGGAAGGGCAAGAAGATCTCGTTCGACAACCACACGGCCGCGGCGGGGGCGGGGATCCGCGCCGCCGGCGCCGCGCTGCGCACCTACCGCATGGTCAAGGAGATCGCCGACAAGAGCGAAGGCGAGCCGGCGGACCCGCTCTCGGGGCTGAGCGCGACGCAGCTCAAGGCGACGCAGGACTCGCTGCCGATCTTCCTCGAGGCGATGTGGCACGTGTCGGTGATCGACATCGAGCGCACCATCACAACCGTCACGCACAAGCTCTGCCGCGACCACTCCGTCGACGAGGTGCAGCGGCTGAGGCGCGCGCAGGCGCTCGGCATCATGGGCGAGGTCTTCATGGAGGTGGCAACCTCGCGCGGCGGATCAAAGGACCCGAAGTCCAAGGTCGCCGAGATGGTTGCCATCATGGTGCCGCCCTCCGCCTCCGGCGCCGGCACCTCCGGCGCCGACGCTGCGGGCGAGGCGCAGCAGGGGGCGAGCGGCGGCGGCGGCGGCGGCGGCGGCGGCGCGGCGGCGCGCGGCGGCGGCGCGACACAGCAGCGGTGTAGCTTGGAGGAGCTTCGCCAGATGAAGGTTGGCGAGCTCAAGCGGCGGCTGCGCGAGCGCGGCATCACCGATCCCGACGCCGTCGAGAAGGAGGAGTTGGTGCAGCTCCTCTTTGGCTTGCAAGAGTCGGAGGGGTCCGCCCAGTGAGGGCGCGGCACTGTTCTCACCATGTCTGTGCGTGGGCTGTGGACACTCAACCCCAGCGGGGACCCCGCTCGACGGCACGGGGCTCGCAAAGGCGGGGGTGAGCTCCTGTTGAGTCGTCACGAACTAGCTCTGCACCCTCCGTCACCGTGTTCACCGTGTGTCCGTGTGTCGGTGTGAGGCCGTTTCTACTTGTGCACACGCGGGCGTAATGGTGTTCTTCTTGACACACGATACACGTACAGCTCTGTGAGACAGAGAGCAGCGAGTAGTTTAGACGACAGTAGTCCGCAGTACGGCGGTGATGCGGTGTCTCGTCGAGATTCGACGAGGAGCATTCAGGATAAGAGAAGGCCGCTGTGTGTGACGCACCGCCGGCAACACCCTGGAACCCTACCCTCGGCTCCGCCGCGCGCCACCCCGCTCGCACATATTTCCTCGCCCCCCCGAGTGTTGGTATGTACTGGTCTCCTGTCAGTGTCCGTGTGTACCGTGCCACAGTTGACGGCTAGTCTAGGTCCCACAAGAACGCCAACTGTTCTGGACACTTTGGACACTGCGTGACGATCGCTGGGACATCCATGCCAATAGCACCCCCATCCCAATTGAAGAGAACATTCGTCATCGGCTCGCTGCACTTTGGGCACTCTGGATAGCGGGGCCCCTGCAACCAATCGGCCCAGCCACCAACCCAATTGCCGTGGCCACCAGAGTACTCGAGCCAATCAGCAAAGCGCCCCAGCTCGCTTCCGACTCGCCAGCGCTCCTCCCGCAGCTCGCTATCCTCGAAGCCGAGCTCCGCTCTCACACCCACCGCCGACACGAGGTCCGTCGGTAGCACGGGGACGCCACTGGGAGGAGTCGGGCTGCCCAGCTCTTCCTGCGGCACGAGGCGGAGGAACTCGGTGCCACGGAACGGGTTGTCGTACGTCGCATCCTCACAGTCAATGTCTCGCAGACAATCAATGTCTTCCTGCGCAAGGTCTGCCGCCATGGCTTCCCGCATGACTGCCGCCGCCATCATGGCTTCCGGATCCTGCGGATCCTCAATCCGGAAGCCATCGGTGCAACCCCACAGCTGGAGCAGCCCACTGCTGCGGCTGAGCTCCGGCACGATGCCGATCGGTGGCGACGATGGCGGCAGCGTGACGCTGCCCCGCAGCGCCCCCAGGTTCAGCTGTGCAAAGAAAGCGAGCGGCTGCCCGCAGCACTTGCACGTGGGCCACTGATCGTCCGGCTTGAGCCACGGCACCCCGCCCAGTTTGGAGACAGGACCAGTGGGCTCTGGTCCGTCGAGCGCCGACAGCTCGAGCTCGATGGCAGAGCGCACCGACTTGCGCAGTGTGGGCGCCGCCTTTGAGAGCGAGTCGTGCACCGCCCGCTCCATCCGGACGCTGAGCTTCAGTACCTCAGGGTCGAGGCCGATCGCATGCACGAGCTCCCGAACCTCGTCGATGGAGGCGTAGCTGGCGGCTCCATCCTCCTCCTCCTGCATGAACACTGGCACGAGCCCACAGCGCAGAGCCTGGCTTTTGCTGCAGCTCTTTACGGCAGACACTGGCGCACAAGGACTTGCGACATCTGCAGCCACGTGAGCGCAGCAAGGGACGAATGCCCCTGGCAGAAATCCGCCAGGCAGGAACATCAGCGACAACATTGACAGCTGCTAGCTGGCCCCGCACGGCTGGCGCACGCTGGATATTCCTGTCACGCGGTTTTTTTGTTTTCGATTTGATTTGGGGCGGGGGGGGCCGCCCGTCGAGGTCTCGTCTTTAGTTCTGGCAGCATCGGCGCCGGCCACGCATCAGGTTGCGAATCGCTTTTTTTATTTTTTTAGTTTCCGGGGCTACTCGCGCCCTCTGTACGTGAGAGAGAGAGAGATTTTAGAAAAGTGTGTGTTGTGTGTGTTGTGTGTGAAGTCACTCACTCACACGCGCCCTCTACGCTTAGTTGGGATCGTTTTCACCAGCGCAGGATACAAGGGGTTCAGTTAGGTGTCGTTGTGAGGTTCTTTTCACTTTTGCGCGTGGACGGATGTCAGGCGAGGGCGCCTCCGCAGCGCAGACCGCTGCGGGGCACGACGACGGCGGCGCCTCCGCACCTGCGCTCGATCGACGGGAACCGACCGCAGATGCCCTCCGCGCACTTCGACCGCGCACTTTACCAACCAAATCGCACGCGATCGCGCTATCGCGCAACCACAGGAACCTGGAATGCAATGGAGCTCATGGCACCCCCCCTTTGCCCCTGCACCACAACTCAACCAAAGAGGCGGTTGTGACCGCCACCAGACTTTCGGACACACACTTGGACACAACCCAGTACGATGGTCGATGCGCATACTGCGCAACCATCCGCACGAAAAAGCGCCGATCTTGCAAGCAGAAGCAGCAACATGGCAGCATGCCCCCCCCTCAGCACCATCTGCCCCCTTAGCAGCCCACCTACTTACCGAGGTAGTAGACTAGTAAGGACTACCTACAAACATCGTCTCTTTTCCTCGCAGTGTTGGTGTGTACTGGTCTCCTGTGTGTCCGCGTGTACCGTGCCAGCGCCTCCCCGGGCCCAGTGTACATCAGTGTTGTGCAGTTTTGTTGTGAACGATCAGCGAAGACTCTTTCGAGGATCGGCGACGTGGCAAGGAGAAGGCTGGTCAGCAGAAACTCGTGCGTCCCTTCTCGCCCGACCGACCCTCCTCTCGTCATACATGCTCGCTCGCAACAGCCGCGTCAGCTTCAGCCGCGCCAGCCGTGCGAGCATGGTGGACGCAGCTTCGGAGCGCAGATCCCGCGTCAGCGCGATCTTCCAGCGCGCCGTCGGCCGCATGCGCGAAGAGGCTGTCGACGAGCAGCTGAACGTGACCTGGGACGAGGAGCGAGGACACCAGATCATGCAGCAGCGGCAGCGTACAGGCGATGAGGTGCTGTATCGGTATCGGGCGAGTCGGGCGAGCGCTGCGGCTGCGGAGCCGACGCTTCCGCCACAGCCAGCGGCCAAAGCACCCTCGCTCCTTCGCACCGTGACGAGCTTTCTCTCGTCACGAAACAAGACGGAGGCTGCTCAAGCCTGATCCGTCCGCTCTGCTGCTGCGCACAGTCGTCTTCATGTCCCGCCAACTTGCTGCCGATCTTACCGCAACGGCGAAACGACTCCAAGCTTCCGCTCAAGGCCTTTGCCACGCCAGTTCCTTGCCGCCGGTATACCGCGTAGCTCATCCACACCGAGTTCCCTGTCCCATCATTGCCGCATCATCTCGAGGCGGAGTCCCACGGAGCTCCGCCACAAACGCAAGCTGGTGCCTGCCCGTCTGATTGAGGAGGGCGTTCTCGCTCTTTGACGCCTGGCACGTGCCCGTTTCTTTATATCTCTTTGCCCCGTCCGCGGCGGCAGCATGTTTTACATCATGATCATCACGTGTTTTCTCTCTACATTTCGTTTCTCATTACCAGTCGCCACCCTGACCTTGGTATCTGTAACAGAGCGCCCTCTCTTTTTAGCGCGCTGCCACGCCCGTGTGTGCTACGCCCTGTGCCAACGCCCTCCAGGGCTCGCTGCGAGAGAATTGGCGCTAGAGACTGCGAAGCCAGTGCGAAGCCAAGAGATAGGAAGAGGCAGACGCCCAAGGGTGGGCGACGGCCAGCAACACACTCCTTCCTTTCCCTTTTCATTCAGCCGTGAAATCCTGTGTGAGATGGGGTCGGTGGCTGGCTCTCTCGGCGCGGCGTGCGTCACACGCCGCCGTCCGTCGCCGCGGCCGGAAAAAAACCGTCCAGACACCACCACACCAGGGATAAATAGAGCAGTCAACCCCTGGTGGGATTAGGGCAGCAACCCGACGGGCAGACCCCGCCCCGCTCGGAGGGCGTGCACCACACAGCACACAGACTTATCTAGGCACTGCACGGCTCCTCGGGGTTTCTGGGGAGGTGCGTGCGTGTGTGTGTGTGTGTGTGTGTGTGTGTGTGTGTGTGTGTGTGTGTGTGTGTGTGTGTGTGTGTGTGTGTGTGTGTGTGTGTGTGTGTGTGTGTGTGTGTGTGTGTGTGTGCTCGCTCGCTCGCTCGCGCGCGCCGCTTGCGCGATCGCGCGCGCTGCGCGAGCCGCCCTGCCCGCTGCGCTGCTAGGGTTGCACTGCGGGAAGGGCTCGGCGGCCGTTCCTAGAACTCCTCGTCGCTCCCCTCGTAGAGCGAGGGCTCGTTGGACTCGAGGCGTGGGCCGCCGTCGTAGGGGGAGCGGGCGGCTCCGCGAGCAACGCTCGCCCAGTTCTTCTTGTTGCTCTTGACCTCGCCGCCGCCGCCGCCGCGGCCGCGTCCGCCGCGCCGGTCTGCGCGCCGCCCGCGGCTCGTGCCCAGCCTGACCGCGCTCGGCATGCGCTCGTAGACGGTGTCCTTGAAGGCGGTGTGGAGGAGCGCCTCAAAGTTGACGCACGGCGCGTAGCGGCAGCGAGCGCTGTTCTTGCACGGGAGGGCGGTGTCTGGTTGAAGTTTGGGCAAAAGCCAATCCCGTCGCGCGCCGCCATCGCCTTGACCTTGCCCGCCGCGCGCGCGACCTCGACCTTGTTGTCGACGATGACGCTCTGGAAGGTCTTCTTCTTCGCGACGTTCGCCGCTACGGCGCGCCTGGCCTTGAGTGCCTGCGCGGCGCACTGCGCGTCGTGGATGATGTCGGCGTTGGTCAACCCAAATGCGCGGCAGGAGGGGCAGAGTTTGTTGCCGAGGACCTTCACGCACCCGACATCGAGGCGGAGAGGTCCACCGACATCGCCGCTCGCGTAGACGTTGGGCAGGACCAGGAGGTTGCAGGCGAGGTTCTCGTTCTTCACCTTGAAGAGGATAGAGCCGTCGTTCTCGTCCGACTTGGCGCCCAGGAAAGAGTGATATCCCTCTTGGACGGAGACGACGTTGCCGAAGTGCTTCTGGAGCAGAGGGGTAAAGTGCTCGATCTGGGCGGCCGTGTTGATGGCGCCGCGGGTGCGGCTAGGGGTGCGGATGGCGATGAGGCCGTCGGACTCCGTCGCCCCGCCTGGAGCTCGCGCGCCTCCGCCTGCCTGCCCCACTCGGAGGCGTCGAGAGCGACGAAGTGGATGGTGATGTCATCCGGAGCTGGGAGCTGTATGGCGCCACCGCCGGCGTGGTGCTCGAGGAAGGCTCGTGCCTCGCTCTCGCCGCTGAAGGCGACGCAGACGGCCCGCGACGTGCCGATGATGGGCACGCTGATCGCGCTCGCCGGCTGCGCCTCGCAGCCTGGCGTCTTCCTCAGAAGCTGTCGAATCTCGGAGACGAGCGCCGTCGTATTCTGGATAGATGTCCGGGATGTGCTTGCCGTCGCGCGCCGCGAGCGCGACGTGCAGCAGGCGCTTCGTGCCGCGGTCGGTGCCGGCGGCCGCCGCAGCGGCCATCTGTGCGGCGTCCACCATAATGGTGTCGCCTTCTTTGGCGTCGTCGTCGTTGACGCGCGCGCTCGCGAGCTCGCCGTCGAGGCGGCGCTTCACGCCGAGTCTCTGGACATCATCGGCCTCTTGCGCGCCGTCGCGGCCGCGCGCCGCGCCCTCGGCAGCGGCAGCGTTGAGCGCCGGCGGCGGCAGGCCGGCCGAGGCGAACGCCATTCAAGTGGTGAAGCGCCTTTCACAGTGTGACGGTAGTTCATGCCTCCCTCGCGGTGCAAAAGTCGAAAGGATTTCTTCTGACGTTTTTGGGCCCTCGCTCTCAAATCGCGGTATAACTCTACTACCCCCTCGAACTAACTACATACACGGGAAGTACCAGTCAGTGTCGTGCGGGTGCGGCACTTGGTTGGAGCACTTGGAGTGCAGTCATTGACCGCACATCCCAGGGCCGGGGGGCTAAGAAGCACGCTCCGCTCCAACCTCCGAAGCCTCCGAACGTTCGATTCGCCCCGTAACGTCTAACTAACCGCCCGCCGCGATAACTGACTCCTCATCACTGACTCCTCATCAGTCATCACACCTCCCAAGAGAAGAAAACCTCCCTGAACATACACATGTTGTGAGGAAGGTGAAGAACAGTCAGGCTCAGACTGGACACCAGTATGGTATGGGTGGATGGCAAAGAAAAAAGAATTTTACACAAAACTCCCTCGCACAACACTAGAAAAAAAGAAAAAAGTGCGCCCAGCCAGCTCGAAGGATACTGTGAGGCGACTATTTGTCATCGCTCATCTCGGGAGAGCTCGCCGCCGACTCTACGCCGCCGCCGCCGCCGCCGCCCTCCCGAGGGCAGATAATACTGGTTGGGTAGTAGTCTAAGTTCTGAGCCTCGAGGCTGAGCGGGTCTAAGTGTGACTAGTCACGCTGGGGTGCTTACGCGGTCTAAGATCAGCGAGAGCCTCTTACATCGGCTAAGTCGGCCGTGGCACAGCCTGGGGCCAAGAGGCTCCCACCGTGATCAACGATACGGCGCTAGCCCCCAAATTTTCTTCGCCTGCGGCGGGCGCCTTCTAATCCGGATCGATCCTTCTCATGCTCAGCAATCGCCGCCTCAGCATCCTCCTCTTCCGATTCTCGTTGCTCTTCTTGAGCGCAATCTTCAAGCCAAACAGTTCTCACAAATAGCCTCAAGCTCAAACAAACGCATGTCAAGGAAGCCTGTGTATGCTGGTCCTCTTTGAACGATCCGCGCGTGAGGTAGATCTAGCATAGGGCCTTGTTGGCAGCAGCCAGCTTGTTGCGCTGCTTCGTTGCGATGAGCTGATTGGGATCGCAGAAGTGCATGCCAAGCACCGCCACGATCTTGAAGCAGAACACATCGCAACCGCATCGTCCGCACTGCCATCGGCATGCCGCGCCCGCCGCTTCGCCGCAGCCGCCTTAAGACACGCATAGCGGCAGCACATGGTACGGTGCGCGTACTTGAGCAGGAGTTGCGCGCCGCAAGTAGCGCACTGGCCCTGGGACAAGGCGATATGGCGTCGTGCGCGGCATACGTTGGTCGCGGGACGCGTCCAGGTATTTTTCGGGTAAACCTGGACTTTTGCAGGTATACCCGGGTTTTACCCGGATTTGGCCTTGTGCCGTCTAAGTTCATGGCCCCCGACCATACAGCGTCTAAGTCCGAGCCCGGCTCCGTGCGGGGGCTAAGTTGAGCGCTCGCTCGCTGCAGAGGCTAAGTGTAGAGCGACCCTCTAGCCCTACTACCCAACCATTCAGATAATAGCCCTCAACAAGTCGACGAGTGTGTCTCGGTTTTGATACAGAGTCATGTGGGGTGCGAATGGAATCAGTTTTGTCCTCGCGTTTCCAAGGAGAAACGGGGAAAAAGAAAAACACGTGTCGACACAGCTTCACAGCGACGACAGACACCTCAACCGCAGGTCATGTGAAACCACGAGCTTCACCGCGCGCCGCGCCGCGATTCGAGCACCGGGCGGTTCATCCCGAAGTGCCTTGCCAAAGCATCGCGCCTTGCGTCGTCGGTGGCGTCGGGAGACCGCGTGGGCTGGATGGCCGTGAAAGACAGCCCGCACGCGTCAAAGAGCGACGATATGCTCTTTGCGCCGCGGTTGCCCATCCGCTGCAGATCTTCCCAGGTCAGCTCGCGCGACTCGAAGCGCCTCCGCTGCAGCTCCTCCCAGGTCAGCTCGCCCGACTCGGGCTCATGCTGCGGGCGCGGCGAGGGAGGAAGCGAAGCAGTCGGCGCCGCCGCCTAATAAAACACCACCACACCTGCACACGGAGAGAGCTGCGCGTTATGGATATGGCTTGCGAGGCGCCTTCGGCTTCTTCGCCTGAGCGCCGCTCGAGACGCCAGCGCGGCGCTTGCTGCCGCCGGCCGCGGCGGGGCTGCCGGTCGCCGCAGCAACGGGAGTGGTAGCGGCGACGGATGCAGAGGGGCCGGAGTCAGCGGCCGCGGCGGCGGTGACGGTGGCGGCGGCGGCGCCTCCGACGGCCTCGAGCGGCTGCGGCACACCTGGCGCCACGCACACCTGGCCCTCTGCCGGGTGCATGTGGCAAAGCCACCGGTCCTTGTCCGAGTAGACGTGGCCCGGCGGCAGCCACCGCCACACGTCACAGCCGTCGCATTGGATGAACTTCGAGGTGGCTGGCAGCACCCTACAAACAGGAAGCAGTTAGATAACCGGGAGTTACGCCGTGTGGTCGCACGACAGAAGCAGAGGCAGATACGTCTCGTCGCCGCGGACGAAGGTGCCCTGCATGAGCTCCGGCTCTTTCTGCGCCAGGACGCTGCGGAAGACCCGCTTCGCGTCCGGCTGTTTGAAGTCCTTGAGAAAGTCGTCCATCTCTACGACGAGCTGCCGGCCGGAGGCGGCGAGCTGCTCCGCGTCGGCGAGGGAGTTGAGCGTGCCAGAAAGACGGAGTGAGCCGCGCCCAAAGCGGGTCGAGCTGAAGGCAGCCCGGTACTTCCCTGTCGCGCCTTCCCCCCGCGTGACGCCCACCGGGAGGTCCTCATTCCGCCCGCCCTTCTTGAGGGTCGCGGACGAGTTCTGTGAGGGGGGGAGGGAGGGGAGGGGGGGGTGGGGGGGTGAGCCCGCCCGGAAGCAGCGGCTCTCCTCGCCGCCCTCTCGCCGGAGGCGGGCGAGGGAGCGGGGAGGCGGCCCGGGAGGGGCGGGGCCGAGGCAGAGGGGAGAGGGCGGGCGGCGCGACGGGCGGGGCGGCCGAGGGAGGGGAGGGGAGGGGGGGGAGGCTGGGGAAGGGTGGAAATGGCGGTGGTGGAGCGCTGTGGTGGTGGGGACGCGAGGGGGCGGGGAGAAGGAGCCCGCGCGCCTCGCGCTTTTCGGCTGCCGCCTTCGCCGCCTCCGCGTGCGCCGCCTCCAGCGAGGCGAGCCCCGCCGCCGCCACCGCCTGCGCGTCCTCGTCGCCGCCCTCGGCGGCGGCGTCCACCGCCGCCTCCGCGTTGCGCTTCTTCTCCTCCGCCGCCCTCTCCTTGTTGAAGACGTTGGCCTTCTCGGACGCCGTCTTCATGATATTCTCCTTCTCGGCGTCCGAGAAGGCCGAGTCCTCCAGCAGCCTGAGCTCCGCGCGGCCGGGGCCCTGCGGGACGGTGAAACCGAGCGACACGACGCGCGGTCGCATCAGGCCCTTGGCAATCTTGTCGAGAGAGCGCGCGTGCGGCAGGCGGTAGTTGAGGGCGCTCGCGTCCTTGAGCAGCTCCGGGTGCGCGCCGGCCTGGCGGCCCTTCTTGAAGGAGCACTCGAGGACGTCGAGCTTCATGCCCGCGGCCATGACCGCCTGGCTCACGAGGTCGATGCCACGGTCGGTGCCGCCGCCGATGAAGGCGATCAGTACCGTGTCGAAGCCGAGCTTCCGCTTGTCGGTGAAGTACGCAGTGAGGAAGGCAAAGATCTGCGGGTACAGCTTGTCGATCGCGTCGGCGCACAGCTTGTCGGAGCTGGCGCGCTTGCCGCCGCCGACGTTGACGCTGGCGAGGGCCGGAAAGATGTCAAAGAGGAAGTGGACGAGCGTGCCGAGCAGCGGCAGCATCGCGCCCTCCTCTAGACCGCTCGCCGCGCCGCTCCGCTTGAAGAGGTCGGTCATGAGCTTCTGCAGCAAACGCATCGACGTGGACTTGCAGTTCCCGGCGTCGTCAAAGGTCAGGTGCGTCTCTGATTGGCCGTTGCGGAGGGGCCCGTAGTTGCCGACGACCCCGACGAGCTTGCCGCAGGTATTCGATGGCGTGGCGAGCGGCGCGCTGGGCGCCATCGGCTGCAGCACCGGCGGCAGCAGGCAGAACTTCTCGTGGGTGGCGGCGGCGAGGCAGAACCAGCAGGCTGCCGTATCCTCCGAAGTGGTGGTGACGAGATTCGACAGCTTCACGTGCTCCCGCGTCTGCACACCGAGCGCGAGAAGCGCGCGGACAGCGGTCGGCGTCATCTCGAGCTGGATCTTCTCGAGCACGCGCTGCTCGATCTCGTTCTTGGGCGTACCGACGAGCGCGAGCAGCTTGGCCGGCGCCGCTGCCTCTGGTGGCTTCTGAGGAGGCGTCGCCTCCTTGGCTCCATTGGGCGAGAGCGGGACCGGGCGCCCGGTGCCGGCGGGCTGCTTGCGGGTGACCTGGACCGACACGGTGCCATCGGGCGCGGCCTGCGCGGACGCGGGCGGTCAACCCGATGTGGGGGGCCGCTCTGCGCGCCAGGGAGGCGAAGGAGAGGGCTGTTGGAGGGCTGGGCGCAGGCTGCGAGAGAGCCCCGGGACCCACGTCAGTCGCGATGCTTGTCAGAATCGGCTCGGGGCTCGGCGCACCGGAAGCGAATCATCCCGAGGTTTGGAGGAGTTGTCGACGGGGTTGGTGCCGTCGAATGGCGCGTGTTGCGGCTGCTCCTGCTGCTCCTGCCGCCGCGCGAGGGTGCCGAAGCGTGAAAAGTGAGAAAAACATCAGTTTTGATGTTTTTGGGCTCCCCCCGCGGCCACGCGCGCGGGTGGGCGATGCGGGCGAACGGACGGGAGGGCCGAGGGCTTCCGCTGGGCGTGCGCGCGTCGCGGGAGTCCCCGGGGAAGGTGGCGCACCGCGGTGTGCATAGGAGATGTCGTGGGCTTTGTCGCGGGAGGCTGTATGGCTGTTTGGCCGGCCAGTCAGGCGCCGTCGCGCGGGCTGTGTCTGGCGACCCTTGCCTGTTGGTCACCTCCGTGCGCAAAACGAATTCTCGTTCTCCACCCTCCCTGGCCGCTGAGAGAGAGAGGTTGGCAGCTGTGCCCTGTGGCGGCCTCGGCGGAAGAGATGCCGCGGGGCGCCGAGCTTCCGTGCTACCGTGCATGATGCTTGATGGCCGATGGGCGGACTTAATAAAAAAATGTTTTTGGCCTCAGCCAAGGCACGCTGTGAAAAAAGGCCAGCGCTGCTCGAAGATGCTACTTGCATGCAAGCGCGCGCGGGAGGGGATGGAGGAGGCCACTCCGGGCTGGGGCGGCGAGCCGTCCTGCTCGCCAGCCCGCTCGCTCCTTTCCGAGTCTCCGGCCGGAAAACGCACGCGGCTGCACGCGGCGGAGCCTGCGGCGCCGTCTGCGTCAGCCTTTGCCGCCGGCTGCTCTGACGGAGGCGCGCGCGTCCCGCGGCGGCACGGGGGAGCGCGCGTGGGCGGGGCGTCCAGCCGACCCGGCCGCCGCCCGGCCACGCCGCGCGCGCGCCGCACAGAAGCCGCTGCGCGCGCGCGGGGCCTGCTCCTTGCGCACCCACTCCTGCTGACCCTTCCCCTCCCCTCACGCCCGCAGGCGCCTCGCAGTCGCGCGCCATTGACCTCTCCGCGGCGCTTCGGCAGCGAACAGACCCGCACACGGGCGAGGTGCTGTTCACCCTGGACCAGGTCCGCGATATCGTGCGCAAGGCGGTCATCGAGCGCGAGCGGACGCTGAGGGAGGAGTACGACCGCACCCTGCAGACGAAACTGCAGGAGCAGTTCCAGGCGTTCGCCAAGTTCAACGAGGACTACGTCTCCCGCCAGCTGCGCCAGGGCGAGCTGAGCTATTGCTCCTAGCCAGTATGCTGCTGCGTTAGCGGCGCGGCGCCCGTGCGGCTGCCGCGCGCGCGAGGGGGTGGCGGCGGCCTCGCGCCGCCCTGACCGCTCGGGCACACGGACGGGGCGCCGCCGCCGCGCCCTCGCCGCGCATGTTTCAGTCTCCATGTTTTGGTCTTCCGTGTATCACCCGCGCAGCGCTGGATGCCGCCTTAGAAAGCTCCGTCCGGCTCGCCGCCCACCGTGTATGTTTTATTCGTCTAAATCGACGAAGGGGCTGAGCAGTGAGCAGCGCCCCCCCCATTCGGATGAGATCATCTTCGAGCATCGGATCACCGAGACGAGTGTGGGAGTGAGGGAGGATGGTGGAGGGGGAGCAGGGGGATGGCAAGAAGACTATTGGTCGCGAGCTCTTACCCGCACCCATCCGGCCGGATTATTATTATTATCGGCATCGGGTGGCCTGCGCGCGCGATTTCTCTTCTACATGCGGGCAAGACGGCTTCGCCTATGAGCTCCTCGTCGGGCCTTGTCCCCAAAGCCCTGCGGTTAGAGGCGTCTGAGATCGAAGGCAACGTCGCGGACTGCATCGGGCTCTACCGGCTTGTCGACGGCAAGACGGTCAACGGCAAGCCGACGTGGCGCAACACTAGGCTTCTCGACAAGTGGCTGGCGTGGAACGGTGCGCGGCCCCGCGCGTTGCGCCCGCCGCCACCGGCCCGGCGCGGCCCTAGACGGGCCGGCCATGCGCGCGCGCGCGTCCACGCGTCCTCCCGACGACCCGCGCCCAGGCTCGACAGCATGGAACGTCCAATCCGAGTCCAACCTCGGCAAGACCAAGGGGTGGCTGCAGCTGCTGGACAAGGGGTGCGCCTACCCGTCGCAGTCCAAGGTGGTGTGGGAGGCCTGGGATGGCGGTGAGTGGGTCAAGCAGGCCGAGCTGCAGTGCGCCGTCGCCAGCCTCGAGGACTTGCCCGCACCCGCCGCGCTGATGATCGAGAGCCCAAAGATTGACTCGGAGGCGAACGGCTGCCTCGGGCTGTATGCACTCGTGCAGGGCCGGATCGTCAACGGCAAGCCCGTCTGGCGCCACACCGGCCGGCCCAACCGCTGGCTCTCCTTCAACGGCGACAACGCGTGGAACGCGCAGTCGGAGGCCAACCTGGGCAAGTCTCGCGGCTGGCTGCAGCTGCTCGACAAGCACTGCCACACGCCCGACCTGTCCAAGCAGGTGTGGGACGCGGCGGACGGCAAGGGGGGGTGGATGAAGGTGCCCGAGCTCAAGGTCAAGGTGACCGACCCAAAGGAGCTGCCGCCGCCGGTGGCGATCCGGCTCGACAACCCGACGGGCGGCCCGCTCTCTATCTCGGGGACCGCGGCCAACTTCATCGGCCTCTACAAGCTGGCGCTGGACAAGACGATCAACGACCGGCCAGCCTACCGGCACACGCAGTCCGCCGGCCGCTGGATCGCCTTCAACGGCGAGAACGCGTGGAACGCCCAGTCCGAGGCGTCACTCGGCCAGAAGCGCGGCTGGCTGCAGCTGCTCGACTCGTCGGCGGCGACGCCAAACATGTCCAAGATCCCTTGGGACAGCGCGGACGGCAACGGCAAGTGGTCCAAGCAGCCCAACCTCAAGTGCCTCGCCGTGGACAACACCGAGCTCCCTCCGCCCAAGGCCATCATCCTCGACGGCGAGCCCGTGATTGGCACCGCCGCAAACTACATCGGCCTCTACCGCCTCGCCGAGGGCGAGAGCGCGCCTGCGGACGGCCGTGCCACCTGGACGCGTCCCCGACCCGTGCCCGGCTCGTCCCCCATAGGCAAGCTCGTCAACGGGCGGCCGTGCTACCGCCACGCGGAGCGGCCGACGCACTGGGTCGCGTA